AGAAAGGTATTCCAACTCTTTTGCTCACGCAAGCAAACCATTCTATTTACTCAGCAGGAGTGTGATTAGTGTGATTGGCTATCACTGTTTTAAAAGGAAAGCCTGTTTAACAGTGGGTGTGGTGGTTGTGCTGTAGTGTGGTGGTGCTGTGGTGGAGAGTATTCGTTTGTAAGTACTCTGTATGGACTGTTTCTTTTGTAAATGCCTGTATATAGCTCACATTAAAAAAGACTGCACTGGAAAAACCTGGAACTCTTAGTGTCTCGCTGAAAGCGCCGCGTGGAATACGCGACAGGTTCCTGGGCAAACAATCCGTGCCAGCCATTTGCAGTCAGAAATAACAGGAATCATGAATATCAGAGCTTGGGGAGTTTTATTTTATATGCTTTCAGTTCCCAAGTCTACATTAACATTTCTATGGTTTGCTCTGCAAGCAAGGAGATCAAATAGCCGCTTGAACATTCTGAATGATGAATCACAAGACCTTCAGTGACATTAGAAAAGTTGACAATATAGACAATGAATCATCTCTCAGAAGACAAGTACAAATGTTGTGAACACAGTCAGAAAGGACTGATTAATTTACAGAGTGGCAAGCCTTAATTACTTTAATTTGGTAGATTAATCAACCAAAAACATTTTGGTTGATATAACAAAGACAATTTTTTAATTGGTACATTGAGAAAAAAGGATTTACTTTTTGGGGGGATGTTTGTTTTGGTGTGTTACAATAATTGGGAATTGGGGGGGATATGAGCTTCTAATAATGAGTAGTAGCTTTAGGTTATTTACATAAATTATCTCATATTTCCTTCGGTTTCTCAAAAGAGGCACCAATGTGGAGGTTTTGATTAAGATCCAGGTGGAGGAAAGTCTTGGCTTTGTCAAGAGAAGGTCTTTCCTCATGGTAACCCCTTATGCAGCCCTCACAGTTTTTGCATTGCAAAGGTGGACTCAACTAGTTCTTACACCTGTATGTTCATCAGTCATTGACTGCAGGATCAAGTGATGATTTGCACTTGAACCACCAAACGTAAATACATGACTACAGATAGCATTCTCATATCACCAGAGACAACAGTGAGGAAAAAGAAAAATGCATGTGTGCCCCATGAACTATGGTGGTTCTCTTTCACGATTCTTAAATACTGTTGTTAGGCAGCCCAATCGACTCTCATCGTAAACAGCACATTTACAACTCATTTGTATAATTTTGAGCTGCCTCAGGAGCCTTTCATCTCTCAAATGTCTGCAGAAACCATATATATATCACTTCGAGGTTCCGTGATAATACTGACATCCTTCTAGGCTTGCTAACACAGGAGTAAGATTTACCAAGCAGCACACCTCTCAAATGGCACCTGATTGGCTAGGATAACATTTGTTTCCAAATACTTTGACAGCCTGGTGTTCATTTACTAGAGATCCCATCTCTTTATCCCCAAAGAACGTTGTTAGCAAAGAACAAATGGGGGAAAGGAATAAAGCCACATTTCCCTCTCTCCCCTTGAAAGACTCATTGCAATAAGAAGTTTAATGTAATCATCACAGGGGCTCAATTTTCGCAGTTCTTAGATGTTTCTTTATTGAGGTCCATTGTTCTAGCATACTGCAGAGATGGTCAATCTCTTGCCCATCTGCTTTCCATTTAAAGCCCTAAACGGCCTCGGTCCTGTATACCTGAAGGAGCGTCTCCACCCCCATCGTTCAGCCCGGACACTGAGATCCAGCGCCGAGGGCCTTCTGGCGGTTCCCTCATTGCGAGAAGTGAGGTTACAGGGAACCAGACACAGGGCCTTCTCGGTAGTGGCACCCGCCCTGTGGAACGTTCTCCCTTCAAGATGTGAAGAAATAAGCAGCTATCCTATCTTTAAAAGACATCTGAAGGCAGCCCTGTTTAGGGAAGTTTTAAATACTTAATGCTGTATTGTTTTTAACACTCAATTGGGAGCTGCCCAGAGTGGCTGGAGAAACTCAGCCAGATGTTTTGCTGTTGTTTAGTCGTTGAGTCGTGTCCGCCTCTTCGTGACCTCCTGGGCCAGAGCACGCCAGGCACTTCTGTCCTCCACTGCCTCCCGCAGTTTGGTCAAACTCAGGCTGGTAGCTTCAAGAAGACTGTCCCACCATCTCGTCCTCTGTCATCCCCTTCTCCTTGTGCCCTCCATCTTTCCCAACATCAGGGTCTTTTCCAGGGAGTCTTCTCTTCTCATGAGGTGGCCAAAGTATTTGAGTCTCAGCTTCACGATCTGTCCTTCCAGTGAGCACTCAGGGCTGATTTCCTTCAGAATGGAGAGGTTTGATCTCCTTGCAGTCCATGGGACTCTCCAGAGTCTCCTCCAGCACCAGAATTAAAAAGCATCCATTCTTCGGCGATCAGCCTTCTTGATGGTCCAGCTCTCACTTCCGTACATCACTACTAAGAAAACCATAGCTTGAACTATACAGGCCTTTGTTGGCAAGTTGATGTCTCTGCTATTTAAGATGCTGTCTAGGTTTGTCATTGCCCAGCGTGTATTATCAGGACATAATTCTGACAATATAGATATATCTATATATGTATATACAATCAAAATTATTCACCATTGCAAATCAGGCTCATTATCAAAATGTGCAGATTTTCAGCTGTCTGCAATGAGCAAATACAGTCATACCTTGTGCTTCAGGTTGCTTTTTTTGGGTTACAGACCGCCGAAACCCGGAAGTACCGGAACGGGTTACTTCCGAGTTTCGGCGACCGCGCATGCGCAGAAGTGCTAAATTGTGCTTTGTGCATGCGCCAAATCGCAACCCGCACATGCACAGATGCGCCGCTGTGGGTTGCGAATGCTGCGGGTTGTGAACGTGCATCCCGCATGGATCACGTTCGCAACCCAAGCATCCGCTGTCGTGAGTTGCATTTTCAGCTGAATTTGGGAATAACCACTTAAAGCCTCCATTCAGTTGAGCCATTTCAATTGCTTCTGTTTGCTTTGCTCATTGCAAACAGCTGAAAGTCTGTACATTTTGATAATAAACCTGATTTGCAATGGGGTGTGTGTGTGAATAATTTCGTTTGCAGCTGTATTTCATGTTTGATGCATACACCATTCTTTTTTCCCCCTTTAAAAATTATTTCATTATTGCTATATTATTGCACCTTCTAGCCAAGACTGTAATACATGCAGGTCCCACTATGCAAACACGATGCGTTTGCAGGAAATTGTTCGTTAGGTGAGTGTTCGCGTGATTCCGTTTGATTCCTATGCAGGAATTGCTAATGCGTTCCCAACCACGAATGTGGACCCCAAAATGAGAAAAGGGAAACCCAGGGAAACCGTCTGAAACTGTGCAGAAGTCAAACAAGGAAGGGGCAAATACTCCCTTATTTTTCTGATCCCACCAGGGTTTCCATCGAAACAGCTGCCACAGACCAGAAAAACACAAAAAAGTGAGGTTTGTTTAAGGCTGATCAGTACTTTTTTCCTGGGGGGACGCATACCCCTTGACATTTTGTGAATCTAAGTTTGGCCTCATCAAGGGGCAGTATTTCAATATGAGTAGGAAAATGAGAGCACCCCTAAACATTTTTTAAAAGAAAAAAAAGCACCGATTATCTGTTTACAGTACGATATGCAAGCTCAGATGTTTGGATATCTGAACCTGCAGTGTGTATACCAAAGTTTGGGTACTAATTCTTTGTGTTCAGATAAATGAATATTCGTACAAGTGTTTGCATAGCAGAAACCACGTGTACATCAAACAGCAAGGGGGGCAGGAGAGACCTTTAAAGTAAAGTGAGTAGATTAAATATTGTGCTTTGCATTGTCATTCCACAATGTAAAAGCAGAGCCCACCTCTCAATAAATTTGCTTTCTTGAGTTTTATATATTGCGTTTTATCATTAAGCTACTTTGCCAGGTTTTCCTTAACCAATCAGTTAGAATGGGTGGGGTCTTTATTTTCAACTTTTTGTGCAATACACTATTTTGCTGTGGTTAACGTGCACAATTCTGAATAACAGCTTGCACATCATCCCTAGCTAACAGGACCAGTGGTCAGGGATGATGGGAATTGCAGTCCCAAAACATCTGGAGGGCCGAGTTTGGGGATGCCTGTTCTTAACTTTCAACAGCAAAATAATGATAATACCTGTTGCTCCCTCACTTGCCACATGAAAGTATTTGGGCTCGTGTTCACATCATTAGTGTGCCCAGAACAATTCATTGAACTGTTTAACATGTGCATATGGACTCTCCTTAAGGGCCGGGGGGTGTTAACTCTTGCCCTCGCTAATGCCTTCTCCAAGATCTTGTAGTTGAACCAGCATCCTTTTAGTTCAGCCACAAGAGAAGGGATTTATACAGTATATAGCTAGTTTAAGGGTGGTGCTGTGGGTTAAACCACAGAGCCTAGGACTTGCCGATCAGAAGGTCAGCGGTTTGAATCCCCGCGACGGGGTGAGCTCCCATTGCCTTAAGGGCCTTGCTGCTGCCAACCTAGCAGTTCGATAGCACCTCAAAGTGCAAGTAGATAAATAGGTACCGCTCCGGCGGGAAGGTAAACGGCATTTCCGTGTGCTGCTCTGGTTCGCCAGAAGCGGCTTAGTCATGACCAATAAAGCGAGATGAGCGCCACAACCCCAGAGTCGGCCACGACTGGACCTAATGGTCAGGGGTCCCTTTACCCCTTTACCTTTAGCTAGTTTAAGATACTGCTCTGTTGCCATTCTCTGCTGCAGACTAGCTTAGCCAGGTGCCTTAGATCTGAGTCTAATGGACCTATGGCAACCAGACCATAAAAAGAGGACATGTCCTGGAAAAAGTGGACATATGGCAACCCTACCTTTAGTCTTCACAACTGCCTCACAGGGGCAAGACCCACAAGAAGAGTTGCTACGCTCATGAGGCCTGGCACTCCTGAGCAGACCTTGTTTGTTCTGATAAAGTTAACGTCACTTCTTCCGTGTGAGTCATTGCCGACACGCTTCTGTCCCCGACTGACGCCTCTCTCCCTTCCCTCCGCAGGTACGGCGTGTGCCGGTACGATGGAAAAGTTTTTCCTGCCTCTTCTGATGCTTGGCACCATGGCGAAACCTCAGCACTGCCCTGGCCGATGCATCTGCCAGAACATCTCCCCGACGCTGACCATGTTGTGCGCCAAGACGGGCCTCCTCTTTGTCCCGCCCACCATCGACCGGCGGACGGTGGAGCTGCGCCTGACGGACAACTTCATCACCGTCATCCGCCGCAAGGACTTCTCCAACATGACCAGCCTGGTGCACCTCACCCTCTCGCGCAACACCATCAGCCAGATCCTGCCCTACGCCTTCTCTGACCTGCGTGCCTTAAGGGCCTTGCACATGAACAGCAACCGCCTGGCCGCCCTGAAGAACGAACACTTCCGCGGGCTGGGCAACCTGCGCCACCTCATCCTGGGCAACAACCAGATCAGCCACATTGAGCCTTCCGCCTTTGACGAGTTCCTCTCGACCGTGGAGGACCTGGACCTCTCTTACAACAACCTGGAGACGCTGCCCTGGGAGGCCATCGGGCAGATGGTGACCCTCAACACCTTGACGTTGGACCACAACCTCATCGACCACATTGCCGAGGGAACCTTCTCCCAGCTGCAGAAGCTGGTCCGGTTGGACATGACCTCCAACCGGCTGCAGAAGCTGCCCCCGGACAACCTCTTCTTGAGAGCCCAAGTGTTGGCCAACGTGCGTGGGACTCACCCATCCACCTTGACCATCAGCTTTGGAGGCAACCCGCTCCATTGCAACTGCGAGCTCCTCTGGCTCCGTAGGTTGACCCGAGAGGATGACCTGGAGACCTGCGCTTCGCCGGAACACTTGATGGACAAGTATTTCTGGTCCATCCCCGAGGAGGAGTTCATCTGCGAGCCCCCGCTCATCACCCGGCAATACTCCTCCAAAGCGTTCATCATGGAAGGGCAAGGCGTCAGCCTCAAGTGCAAGGCGGTGGGTGACCCAGAGCCCTCCATCCACTGGATCGCCCCCGACGGCAAGCTGATCCACAACACCACCCGCACGACGGTCTTCGAGAACGGGACCCTGGAAGTTCTCATCACCACCTTGAAGGACAACGGGGTCTTCACCTGCATCGCCTCCAACGCTGCCGGCGAGGCCACGGCTCCCGTCGAGATCTGCATTGTCCCACTCCCCTTACTGGTCAACAACACAGGGCACATGAAGGAGCCCGATCCCGGCTCATCGGACATCACCACCTCTGCCAAATCGGGCGCCAACGACACCAAGAACCACCTGGACAAGAGGATCGTGGCGGCTGACCTGACGTCCACCTCGGTGGTCATCCACTGGCCGTCTGAGCGGCACATCCCTGGCATCCGTATGTACCAGATCCAGTACAACAGCTCCCTGGATGACTCTCTGGTTTACAGGCGAGTAACGCGGGTCGGGGCCCGTTGCACCATTCGAGTCGCTGCGCCGTGGTCGGGGCGGTGTCCGTGGCTGCCATGTGGATGGACTTGGGGGCAGGGGCCTGTATTGACATGGGGTATTGATGTGTGGGTGGGTGGGTGGTGATAATAATAATAATAATTTATTATTTATACCCCACCCATCTGTCTGGGTTTCCCAGACACTCTGGGCGGCTCCCAACAGAATATTAAAAACACAATAAAACCTCAAACATTAAAAACTTCCCTAAACAGGGCTGCCTTCAGATGTCTTCTAAAAGTCAAGTAGTTGTTTTATTTCCTTGACATCTGACGGGAGGGCGTTCCGGCGTTCCACAGGGAGGGTGCCTCTACCGAGAAGGCCCTCGGAGAAGGCCCTCACTTCTCGCAGGGAGGGAACCGCCAGAAGGCCCTCGGAGCTGGACCTCAGTGTCCGGGCAGAACGATGGGGGTGGAGATGCTCCTTCAGGTCTACTGGACCGAGGCCGTTTAGGGCTTTCAAGGTCAGCACCAACACTTTGAATTGTGCACAGAAACGTACTGGGAGCCAGTATAGGTCTTTCAAGATGGGTATTATGTGGTCTCGGTGGCCACTCCCAGTCACCAGTCTAGCTGCCGCATTCTGGATTAATTGCAGTTTCTGGGTCACCTTCACAGGTAGCCCCATGTAGAGCGCATTGCAGTAGTCCAAGCAGGAGATAACTAGACATGCGCCACTCTGGCAAGACAGTCCGTGGGCAGGGAGGGTCTCATCCTGCGTACCAGATGGAGCTTTCAGGACCAGTATTATATGGTCTCAGCAGCCACGCCCAGTCACTAGGGAGAGAGAGAAAACAATGTACTGCTAGAATTTATCTTGCTATAGGAACAGAGTTACGGAGATGTTGAAGCTGCAGTGATCTATCATGTGAGTTTCCACCAGGAGGGCTCACTAGGGAGTTGAAATGTATTGAGTTTTTGAAATTGCTCTGCCTCTTCTGAAGTATGGAATCATACTGTTGTGAAGTTGGAAGGGACCCCCGAAGGTCATCCAGCCCAACCCCTGCCACGCAGGTAATGTGGGTTAAACCGCAGAGCCTAGGGCTTGCCGATCAGAAGGTCGGCGGTTCAAATCCCCGCGACGGGGTGAGCTCCCGTTGCTCGGCCCCAGCTCCTGCCAACCTAGCAGTTCAAAAGCACGTCAAAGTGCAAGTAGATAAATAGGTACCGCTCCGGCGGAAGGTAAACGGCGTTTCCGTGCGCTGCTCTGGTTCGCCAGAAGCGGCTTAGTCATGCTGGCCACATGACCCGGAAGCTGTACGCCGGCTCCCTCGGCCAATAAAGCGAGATGAGCATCGCAACCCCAGAGTCGGCCACAACTGGAACTAGTGGTCAGGGGTCCCTTTACCTTTACCTTTACCCAACTTTCAGATTGAGAAAGGTTATGGAAATCTGATTTGAAATTCTCGGCACATAGTACGCTGAAAGCAAACTATATGAAAATGATGTGCCGGTGGTATTTGACTCCTAGTAAGGTAGGATGTGTGTGGCGCTATGGTCTAAACCACTGAGCTTCTTGGGCTTGCAGATCGGAAGGTTGGTGGTTCGAATCCCTGTGACAGGGTGAGCTCCCGTTGCTCTGTCCCTGCTCCTGCCAACCTAGCAGATCAAAAGCACGTCAAAGTGCAAGTAGATAAATAGGTACCGCTCTGGTGGGAAGGTATACAGCGTTTCCGTGCGCTGCTCTGGTTTGCCAGAAGTGGCTTAGTCATGCTGGCCACATGACCCGGAAGCTGTACGCCGGCTCCCTCGGCCAGTAAAGCGAGATGAGCGCCGCAGCCCCAGAGTTGGCCACGACTGGACTTAACTGTCAGAAGTCCTTTACCTTTTTTATCACAGCATCTCTTAGTCTTCTGAGAGACAAGCCATTGAACATAGGGACTGAGCAACCTCCCACTCAATTCTCCAAAGAAGTCTACCTGAGTGAGATCAGCCCTGTGATTTAATTATTTTTTGTTCTTCTGAATGCCTGAGCTACAGTTTCCCACCATGCATTATTCCATACAGTTGTCTGAGCCTTTACTCAGAAGTAAACCCCACCGACTTGAGTGGGACAGACTTTGTAGCTGGTCCTGCAGCCTGCCAGCACTGCCCCACCCTGTGCACTTCTACTCCAAAGTAAGCCCAACAGAGTCCCATTGGGCTTACTCCCAAGTAAGCATGCGCAGGCTCGCAGCCCAAATCCATGCAGGTTTTGATTGGCGCACAGCTATTGTTAAATTTCTCTCCGTGTTATGGCATTAGGGATAATCATATGTATTTACAATCTTACGAGTAATTTGACTTAATTATCGTTATGTGGGATGCTAATTTTTGGTGGGTGTTTTTTTAATAGTTATTATTGTTTTCGTAATGGGCTGCCTTCAGCGCTGGCAACAAAGGAAGGGTAGCATAGAAAAAGATTAATATAAATGAATAAATAAGGCAGGCGAAGGATCTCAGGAAATGCTTTTGCTGGGGAAATGATTCGAATGTGGGAAGGTGTTTGCAGGAGCTGGGTGAGCAGAGAGGAGAGGGAATAGAGCAGGCATCCCCAAACTCAGCCCTCCAGATGTTTTGGACTACAATTCCCATCATCCCTGACCACTGGTCCTGTTAGCTAGGGATGATGGGAATTGTAGTCTCAATACATCCAGAGGGCCGGAGTTTGCCTGGGCCTGCTCAAACGCCTTGGGACTCAAACAACTTGGAATCCAAATGGACTGCAAATATGTTGTTGTTTAGTCATTTAGTCGTGTCCGACTCTTTGTGACCCCCTGGACCAGAGCACGCCTGGCACTCCTGACTTCCACTGCCTCCCGCAGTTTGGTCAAACTCATGCTGGTAGCTTCGAGAACACTGTCCCACCATCTCATCCTCTGTCGTCCCCTTCTCCTTGTGCCCTCCATCTTTCCCAACATCAGGGTCTTTTCCAGGGAGTCTTCTCTTCTCCTGAGGTGGCCAAAGTCTTGGAGCCTCAGCTTCAGGATCTGTCCTTCCAGTGAGCACTCAGGGCTGATTTCCTTCAGAATGGAGAGGTTTGATCTTCTTGCAGTCCATGGGACTCTCAAGAGTCTCCTCCAGCATCAGAATTCAAAAGCATCCGTTCTTCGGCGATCAGCCTTCTTGATGGTCCAGCTCTCACTTCCATACATCACTACTGGGAAAACCAGAGCTTGAACTATACGGACCTTTGTTGGCAAGGTGATGTCTCTGCATTTTAAGATGCTGTCTAGGTTTGTCATTGCTCTGCAAATATAAGGGTCTGCATTTAAATATAAGGCTTTGCCTTAAATGCATGCAGTGGTACCTTGGTTCTCAAATGCAGGCATAGGCAAACTCTGGCCCTCCAGATGTTTTGAGACAACAATTCCCATCATCAGCTAGGGATCATGGGATTTGTAGGCCAAAACATCTGGAGGGCCGCAGGTTGGGGATGCCTGGCACAGAGAGTGAGGTTGGTGAGAGTGCTGCTGATAACGCCCAAGGTTGCAGGTTCGATCCCTGTAAGGGGCAGCTGTATATTCCTTTTTTCCTTTTCTTTGGATTTATTGTTTTATTAAATTGCGAAACAGCTTACAAACAATAAATAATGACAACAGAACATAATGCAACAATGCAACGTGAAGCACGTAAAATCCTATAGAATAGTTAAGAAATTAAGCAATTACAAATTACCAGTGAAACAATCAGAATCTATGAACCGCGGTGAACCAAACAACTAAAAAGATGAGCTAAACAGCCCAAGAACAACAAAAGTCCTATTGTAGGATTCGCAGAGTACAACAATATTCATAAATTATGAACTAACGAAATAAAAAGGTAAAGGTACCCCTGCCCATACGGGCCAATCTTGACAGACTCTAGGGTTGTGCGCTCATCTCACTCAAGAGGCCGGGGTCCAGCGCTGTCCGGAGACACTTCCGGGTCACGTGGTCAGCGTGACATCGCTGCTCTGGCGAGCCAGCACAGCACACGGAAACGCCGTTTACCTTCCCGCTAGTAAGCGGTCCCTATTTCTCTACTTGCACCCCGGGGTGCTTTCGAACTGCTAGGTTGGCAGGCGCTGGGACCAAGCAACGGGAGCGCACCCCGCCGTGGGGATTCGAACCGCCAACCTTTCGATCGGCAAGCCCTAGGCGCTGAGGCTTTTACCCACAGCGCCACCCGCGTCCCTCTAACAAAATAGCAACCCCAAAATAAGGTCAGCAGCGCTGGATTCACACACTCCCCACTCCTTTGACTTACAATCTTAATCTCATTTGTTCTGTTCATTCAAAGACACATGCACATTCCTGCATTGCCCGGGGTTGGTCTAGATGACCCTTGGGTTCCCTTCCAACTCTCCATGATTCTATGATTTTGCATGCAGAGCAGGTGCTCCACCACTGACCCACCAGCACGTTCCCTTCCATTTGCCTCCCCGAGGAGTTTCCCTGCTTTGACACCCTCCCCTTCCAGAGATCCCCTCCACTCCTGCCACCTTGCAGCCATCTCTCGGGGAAGGGGAGAGCAGGAGAGGTGGAGCAGCTGCTCATACTGGGATTCCCTGCCAGGAATTGTCACAAAGCCAGCAATAAGATTAAAGCAGAGTTCAGGCGCAGAGGCAGGGAAGCAGCCATGAAAGCAGCCTCAAAGACTTCCTCCTTCCGCGCTCAGCATGGCAGCACTAGAATCAGAGAACTGAGGATCATCTATTCCAACCCAATCTTTCGCCCAATGCAGGGATTGAACCCATAACCTTTAGATGCTTCTTAAGGTCCCTCATAGCCAAGTAAGATTGTCTCCCATAAACACAGCCTTAACAATGAGTCCGTAAGTGACTGTGGTTCACAGTAATTCACCCTTCTATTCAGAATTGAGATTTTATTGCATTTTTAGGGGGAGTGTCGTAGCTCAGAGCACCTGCCTTTGCAAGCCAACGGTCCCAGGTGTCATTTCTGGCTGTTTGCCGGCTGTTCTGTTGGAAATTGTAGCTGCGGTGGCTAAGTAGAACCTCCCTGGATAGGCGCAGTATACCTCAGAGGGCCAGATGTTGGGGACAAACTTCAGGAAAGGGCTGTGGCTTTCAGGAGCAGCTTGTAGGCATCTCAGAGGCATTGAGGGGGGCACCTTCCAGCATCCTGCCTGGATTTCATGTGCAGCTGAGGTGTTGGCTGTGTCTGGATGTCACAGCAAACCAGTCTTTGCCAACTTGGGGCATAATGATAATGCCCAGTCAGCTGCAACCATGGTTTATCAGCCACCTTTGATACCATCGACCATAACATCCTTCTGGACCGTCTAGAGGAGCTGGGAGTTGGCACTGTCATACAGTGGTTCCGCTCCTTCCTCCTGGGCCGTGTCCAGGAAGTGGTGGTGGGGGGATGAGTGTTCAGACCCCTGGGCTCTCACTTGTGGGGTGCCTCAGGGTTCTTTCCTCTCTCCCATGCTTTTTAACATCTATATGAAGCCGCTGGGAGAGATCATCAGGGGGTTTGGGCTGGGTGTTCATCAATATGCGGATGATACCCAGCTCTACCTCTCTTTCAAATCAGAACCAGTGAAGGCAGTGAAGGTCCTGTGTGAGTGTCTGGAGGTGGTTGGAGGATGGATGGCAGCTAATGGATTGAGGTTGAATCCTGACAAGACAGAAGTACTATTCTTGGGGGACAGGGGACGGGCTGGTATGGAGGACTCCCTGGTCCTGAATGGGGCAACTGTGCCCCTGAAGGACCAGGTGTGCAGCCTGGGAGTCATTTTGGACTCACAGCTGTCCATGGAGGCGCAAGTCAATTCTGTATCCAGGGTAGCTGTTTCCGAGCTCCATCTGGTATGCAGGATGAGACCCTCCCTGCCTGCGGACTGTCTTGCCAGAGTGGTACATGCTCTAGTTATCTCCCGCTTGGACTACTGCAATGCGCTCTACGTGGGGCTACCTTTGAAGGTGACCCGGAAACTACAATTAATCCAGAATGCGGCAGCTAGACTGGGGACTGGGAGCCACCGCCGAGACCACATAACACTGGTCCTGAAAGACCTACATTGGCTCCCAGTACGTTTCCGAGCACAATTCAAAGTGTTGGTGCTGACCTTGAAAGCCCTAAATGGCCTCGGCCCAGTTTGCACCACTCTGGCAGAACAGTCTATGGGCAGGGAGGGTCTCATCCTGCGTACCAGATGGAACTGGTAAACAGCTGCCCTGGACACAGAATGGACCTGCACCACCGACAGAAGCCACAGGTAGCCTTCTCCTCCCAGATTTTGTCCAATCCTCTCGGAGGCAGTTTCCCAAGGACATGAGGAGAAGCTTGCCCCTTCTCTCCCGATGATTAATTCTCCCGTTCCAGAGGCGCCATGTTCCGCCAGTGGGAGACAGATGTGGAGACCCAGCAAGACCCTGGTGTGGAGGCCCAGATACCTTGTTTCTTTGAAGGCTGACGCCGGCTAATCCTTTCCGCTGGCAGAATGATGGATCCTGCTCTCTCCCCTCCCCAGCCGGATCAATCCATCTTCCCGCCAGGTCGCCTGGGCCACGTGCGATCTGTGTGTCGCCCCCCCCCAACATATCCTCTCCCTCCCCTCCTGTCTTTCCCACCCCCAGAAAATTGCAGCTGTTGGCGACACGGTTCTATAATTCTTGGCTAATTGCCTGCTGCTCCTCAGGCCTCTCCATCACTCGCTCCTGCTAATAAATGGGAACTAATCGAGTGCTCTGCAGAAGTGCGGCACTTCAGCAGTCCGTGGACCACTTTGCAAGCCCCCCCCCCCCGCCTCTCCCGCCCGGATCCTCTGCATCCCTCGCCTGCCAGGGTGCACAGGAAGGTGCTGAGCATCTGTCTTCTCCTGCCCCACCTCTGTTTTATTTCACTTTATTTTTAATTTATTTATTTGGTGTGGTTTTTTTTCAAATTACAGCTTTACAACCACATATCTAACATACATCATCATCATAATCATCATTATTATTACTTTAATTTCTATACTGCCCTATACCTGAAGGTCTCAGGGCGGTTCACACCACCCAAAACATCATACATACATCACAGAAGGGGGCGCTCTACAGCAGAAATCCTGTCTGCCAGGATACCTGACAATGGGCATTACCTGGGTAGCCCAGCCATTCTTTTGTGATGGTTAATAGTTTAGTTCCTGAATGCAGGTCACAGGTTCACCCTATTCATACACAAATATGCCCTTAAGGCAGGATTTGCAAGCAAAAAGACAATGGGAAGGCTTTCCCCATTTGCCTCCCTTTACTGCACAGGACTATTTGAGGTCATTGGGAGTGTCAAAATGGCTTCAGGATTGCTCTCCTGTACTATTTCAGACGCATGGCTCATATATTTAGATATGTGTGCATTTATGAATATTTGTTCTATATTTGACACCGTTAAAATCTTAGTCATACCTCGGGTTACAGCTGCTTCAGGTTGTGTTTTTTCACGTTACGGACCGCCGAAACCCGGAAGTATCAGAACGGGTTACTTCCAGGTGTCAGCGGTCATACGCAGAAGTGCTAAATCGCGCATGCGCCGAAGTGCCGAATCGCAACCCACGTGTGCGCAGACACGAGTTGCGAATGCTGCGGGTTGCGAACATGCATCCTGCACAGATCACATTCGCAACCTGAGCGTCCACTGTACATAAAATCAAAACAAAACCAGCAACCCAATAATAATAAAACCGCCCCAAAAGAGCTAGCATTTTTTAAAAGGGTATAGGATGTAGATCGAATCAGGTAAAGGCCTGGTTGAAAAGGAATGTTTTTGCCTGGCGCCTAAAGGTGCCAGGCGAACTTCCCTGGGGAGAGCATTCCGCAGACAGGGAGCCACTGCAGAAAAGGCCCCGTTCTCATTTTGACGCCCTCTGGACCTCTTTCAGAGGAGGCACACGAAGAACATAAAAACAAGATTAAAGGAATCTCCTGGACTCCCCCCCCCTTTGTGGTCCTATTATTAGTCATTTCCTCCTGCATCTTTTATAATAATCCAAATCTTTTACATCTCCATTATATCCACAATTCAACATTAAACTACAAGTGTTATTCCAATCCTACTAACAATTTTAACTGTTTACAATGGTTTTTAAGATAATTTCCCCCAATATTTATTAAAATTTTGGACTTCCTGATTTCTGATTCTTCCAGTCATTTTTGCCATTAATCCATCAACTTGATCTGCCATTCTTCTCTGGTCGGGACTTTATCTTTTTTCCATTTCTGGGCCAGTAATATTCACGCAAACATGGTCGCATACATATATAGTCTTTTCTGCTTCTTTGGGATTTCGGCGCCTAAAAATCCTAAAAGAAAGGTTTCGGGGGGGTTTTAAAGAAAAAGTTATTTTAAACATTTTTTCCCCAATTCATTATATATCATTTCCCCACTCCGTTTTAAGGAAAGATGCCAGGTAGGGTTAGAATCATGGAATTGTTGAGTTGGAAGGGACCCCTGAAGGACATTTAGTCCAACCTGCTGCAATGCAGGAATCTCAGCTAAACATCCATGGCAGGTGACCATCCAACCTCTGCATTAAAACTTCCAAGGATGGAGAGTTCACAAGCTCCCAAGAGAGACCATTCCACTGTCAAACAGCTCTTATTGTCGGAAAGGTCTTCCTGACATTCAGTCGGAATCTCCTTTGGTGCAATCTGAAGCCATTGGTTCAGGTCCTCTGGGCTCAGAGTGGCTGGGAGCGATGGATTCTTCAACATCAACTTCGTTGGACTGGTCATGTCGTGCGGATGCCTGATGATCGTCTTCCAAAGCAACTCCTCTATTCCCAACTTAAAAATGGAAAGCGTAATGCTGGTGGTCAACAAAAGAGGTTTAAAGACCGTCTCAATGCAAATCTTTAAAAATGTAGTATAAGCACCAACAATTGGGAAACACTGGCCTGCGAGCGCTCCAGTTGGAGAACAGCCTTCACCAAAGGTGTCATGGGATTTTGAAGACACTCGAACTCAGGACGCAAGGGAGAACGTGTTAAGAGGAAGGCATGCTTGGCAAACCCTCACCGTGATCACCTCCCGCCCAGGAACCAATGTCCCCACTGTGGAAGGACGTGTGGATCCAGAATTGGCCTCCACAGTCACTTATGGACTCACTGTTAAGACCGTGTTCATGAAAAACAATCTTACTCAGATATGAGTGATCGCCAAAAAAATAAATATTTGATGATGATTCAGAGAAGCAGAAACAAACCTCTTCCATCTTCCATGTGACTTCAGATATTAGAGGATGGCTATCCTATCTCCTCTCAGTTTCCTCTTTTCCAGGCTAAACATGCCCAACTTCTTCAACCGTTCCTCATATGGCTCGGTTTCCAGACCCTCGATCATCTTGGTTGCCCTCCTCTGCCATCTTCCAGTATAAAAAGGGCTGTCATGTGAAAGATGGAACAAGCTTGTTTTCTCCTCCTCTGGAGGGTAGGACTCGAACCCACAGCATCAAGTTACAAGAAAGGAGATTCCGACTAAACATTACTTTCTGACAGTAAGAGCTGTTTGACAGCGGAACGGTTGTGGTGGACTCTCCTTCCTTGCAGATTTTAAGCAGAGGTTGGGTGGCCATCTACCATGGATGGCTGAGTTGATGCTTTGCCTCCGTCTTCACCCAAAAGGAAAGCGAAGCCCAACCTGGCGATAAGAGAATAAATGATGGAAGGAGGGAGCTGCAGCCCAAGATAGGAAAAGAGGCAATAAGGGAACACCTAGCTACAGTACTTTAAATTAATTCAAATCTCCAGGGCCTGATGAGCTGCACCCAAGGGAACTAAAGGAGCTTGCGGATGTAATTTCAGAGCCTCTGGCTATAAACGTGGAGAATTGTTGGAGAACTAGTAAGGTCCCTGCAGACTAAAGGTAAAGGTAAAGGGACCCCTGACCATTAGGTCCAGTCGTGACCGACTCTGGGGTTGCGGCGCTCATCTCACTTTATTGGCCGAGGGAGCCGGCGTACAGCTTCCGGGTCATGTGGCCAGCATGACTGAGCCGCTTCTGGCGAACCCAGAGCAGCTCACCGAAACACCGTTTACCTTCCCGCCGGAGTGGTACCTATTTATCTACTTGCACTGTGGCGTGCTTTCGAACTGCTAGGTTGGCAGGAGCAGGGACCGAGCAACGGAAGCTCACCCGTCATTGTGGGGATTCGAACCCTCAACCTTCTGATTGGCAAGTTCTAGTGGGCAAATGTTGTCCCCATCCTCAAAAAGGAGGAAAAAGAAGAGCCAGGTAACTACCGACCAGTGAGCTTGACATCGATACCAGGAAACATCCTAAAAAAAGATAATTAAATGGTCGGTGTGTAAGCACTCTACAAACACACAATTGTTGCCTTCACACTTGCCATATAGACGTACACGTAAGGACACCCAGCATGAAGAATGGTCACAGTTCATTTTAATCTTTTTTTTGTTGCACTAGGGCAGGGGTCAGCAAACCAAAACTCCGGAGCCGCATGTGGCTCTTTTACACCTTTGCCACGGCTACGGGGCGGATACTAGTGAGGGGAGGAGGCGCATTGTGTGCTCTGACACTCCCCACTGTTTTAAATGTCGCAATGGTTTTGTGGCTCCCAGTTTTTTCTTCTTCGGACCAAGTGGTTCTTTTTGTCTTCAAGGTTGCAGACCCCTGCACTAGGTCATGGGTAGGGAAACTACCCGGATCCGGCCCAATTGCCTTCTAAATTTGGCCCGTGGACGGTCCGGGAATCAGCGTGCTTTTACATGAGTAGAATGTGTGCTTTTGTGCTGGTCCTGGGGGGTTACTGTGCGGTGTGGTCCGAGTCCAGTCCAAGGTGGAGGGTGCGGTATGGAGGCTGTCCGTCAAAGCTGAAGCGGGGTCCAAGGCAAGGAGTCGGGTGAGGTCAGGGACTCTGGCAGAAGAGCAGGACAGGGTGCAGGCAGGAACAGGCTACCACCAATGTTGCTCCCGCAACCTTGGGACTGGGGCTGGCCGGCTTTTCTCTCCTCTGAGGCATAGGGCAGCCCCGGTCCACAGATGACTCGCCTCTCCTGGCCTGGAGGAGAGCACTCCTCCTGCGGGAATTTAGTTCCCTCCGCCTCTCTGCCCTGAGCCTCTGCAGCTCAGGAGAGGCTGGAGGGTTACTGGACCCAGAGGCAACCTCAGCTTCCCCTGATGGGGCTGAGAGTGGAGGACCTGCAGGCAGTGGGTCCTCCATCACCTCAGGAGCCAGAGCAGACTCAGCTGGTGCCTGCACCTGAGGATCCAGCACAGGTGAGGACCCTTCAGGCTCATGCCCCAGCCCCGGCTCAGCTGGTTCTGGAGGCAGGGGACTCCTGTGCAAGCTGGGATTCCTCAGGTTCAGCCTCTGAATCCGATTCCCAGGCCATCACAGCTTTTATTTAAAATGCATCTCTGGGTTCTTTGTGGGGGCATAGGAATTCGTTCATTATTTTTTCAAAATATAGTCGGCCCCA